TTTATCCTATACCCTCTAGTTTGCAATAGTACTTGGATTGACATGTTTGTAGTTGAGACCTTGATGGAGCACTTGTCTAAATCCATGGTTCTCTACTGTCTGTAAGCAGTATATTTCCTAAAAAAGCCTCCATTGCTTGGGGTCACAGGAAGCTCCTCTGTAGACATGAGGAATACATGGACAATACTCTCCAAGTAACACTGTAAACCACACCATTTTTCAGTAAAAGGTAGAGACCAGTGGTCAAGGTGAACTAGTATACTCATCTGAAAATAACAGTGCAGGTTCCTTATATGTAAACTTGCTCTTGTGGAAGGAGCATATTTAGACCCATAATTTTGTTTTATGCAAGGTAAATTTGTTCTTGTGCTATCGGCATAGATGCTCACCCTGGCTCCAGGAGTGGCCACTGCCAGTTGCCTGCAGCTGGTAGGCTGCACCAAGATCTGCCTGTTCCCCACAATGCCTAGGCTCACCCCAGCTCCTGGGCTGCACCATGCTGTGGTGTAGGCAGTTGGTGTCAGCTGCTCTAGTGTGGGCTGGTGTGTGTGGACAAGCAGAGCCCTGGGTGGCATGGAATGCAGCACTTGCCCCAGCCCCTGCTGCAGTGGCCCCAGAAGCAGCTGACATCAGCTGCCTGTACCAGGGCATGGCATAGCCCAGGAGCAGAGGTGAGTGAGGACGGGTGGAGCATGGTGCACCTCAGTGGCTGCAGGCAGCTGGTACTGGTAGCTCCTGGGACTACTGCAGCTGGGGCTGGGATAAGTGCCACTCTGCTGTGCTGCCTTCTGCAGCCCTGGGAGCAGCACCCTGCCCCCACATTGTTCCCTAGTCCCAGCCTCACTCCCTCCTTTCCTTACTGCCATGGGAACCTGTTCCTGTTTGTTACATTGTAAAGTGGGTGTGCTTTATGCAAATTTGATTTATTTGCTGCCTCTGGGAACACGTACAGCATAAATCAAGGGGAAACCTGTATGTGAAGTGGGAATTGGATTAACTTTTATAGTCATAAATGAAGGGACCATGTTGATATTCTGAAGGGAGCCTGATGATATTCTTGGGCACTGATGGCAAGACTTAAATGCCAGGCTCTTATCCCTTGGAAATTCATCTCAGTGATGCACCTGGCTGTACCTGATGGCAAATGACTTGAGTAGCTGGTCTTAAATGGCACTGCCTTTATGGCCAAATGAACACTGAAACTGAGAACTGGATGCAAAAGTTTTAGTTATAGTTCATGTGTGTTTTGTTTTGTCTTGTTTTTGTTCCCCCCCCACTAAGGGAGTGTGGGGGGGGGGGTAATGTTTTCATTTTGATCCTTCCAAGTGGCTTGACTTCAGCTTTTTGGTCCAAAAAAAAACCCCCAAAACAACCCAATCACATTGCATGTAGTTCTTTTTTGTTTTGTTTGTTTGTTTTAAATGAGTAATATTTACAAATCTTGGTCACCACACACAATGATAGCTGCCCTGGGGCAGAATCTGAGTAAATAAGTCATGGTGTCTGGCATTTTTGTTTATTTTGCAATTCGGAAAATACAAATGTCACTCAGTACATACAGTAGGAAATCAGTACAAGCAAAACAGCTGAACAGTAATGTCAAACTGAGATTGGGCATTGTGAACTTGCAATAAATTAGATATTAAAAGTATCTTGTTTCAGGAGTAACCCAGTTTTCTATGAGTTCTAACTTGAGAGAGCTCTGGACTCTTTTTTTTTTTGCTTAAAACTCCTGCCCCCCCAGCCTTCCTTAACTTCTCATAATGAAACTTTCCTGATGAGCAAGTTTAGCCTGAAAAATGCCAAGCCTGTTCCTGATAAGAATAAAATAATATTAATTTGTTATTCCAAAGCTGTGGGTCTGCAAACATGTCCTCAGAAGAATAAGTATATCCCATGAGCTTGCATAAAGTAAGTTAAATGTACCTAAAGCACCTGTGAGCTTGAAAGAACCAGCTGCTTGGAATGTCACATACTTCGTGTGTCTTTAAATTTGCTTGATTATTATTCCAGAGTGTGGCTGAAGACTACTATGGGTTAACTTTTTGAGATGGGCAATGCTGTCTTAAGCTGCACTTGCTTGTTTTTCCTAATGCTTGCACGGGTCAAAAGCACTGCCTGTGTTTTGGTGGCTTCCCCCAGCTCTTACTGAGACTGAAGTGTTAGGCAAGGAATTTACTTGCCATCTTTTAAAGATGTGTTGGGTTAGCAAAACTCCTTATCTTTTTGTGCACTAATGCTGTTATGACTTCTGTTCACTTTGAAGTGGAGGTGGGGGGTGAGAGTATGAGAACTCCATTCCAGTGCAAAATCTGGTGCAAATAACAGCTGGGTTTTGGTTTGAACACACTTAATTTTGTGTATGTTTGTTTCCATTTTGTTATGTTAAATGGAGAACACTCACTTCTTGGTACTGGTGAAAGGCTTGGCCTCTAAAGACTACTTCTTCTTCTCTGCATTCCAGGCATGTTGGAGACCTCGGCAATGTGACTGCTAAGGGTGGAGTGGCAGAGATATCCATTGTAGATCCCCACATTTCACTTACTGGACCCCTGTGCATTATTGGACGTACCATGGTGGTAAGTACTTCCAAATATGGTCTTCCATCTACCAAGATTAAGTGAGGGATTAGAATCTGCTATACTGAGCCTGTATTGCAGAAATCATAAGTCCACTGCAAAAAACTGTCAGGTATTTGGCTTTTAAGTACTTAAAAAAAAAAGCAATTTGTGGATTTTGTTTTTGAGCTAACTGGATTAAGAGGCCAGGAAGCCGCCTTGTATAGTTCTGCAAGCTGAGATTCCTGAAGATGGTAATAAAATACAGAGGAGAAAAATGCAGTAACAAGAATTAAATTACTTGATGCAAGGGTGTGTACTTGTTTATAAGTGTGCAAGTATAGCTGTGTGTTTAAAGGACAAACTTCCAGCCATCAAGTCCACCCAGAACCATTACCTTCAATCCCTGTTTAGTGAAGCTGTGCTAGCAAAAGCCAATACAAGTGAATATTTGCTGCTTTCTAAGCTTTAGCTTCTGGAAGTATAATGTTAAATGGAACACATGGTATGCTTAAACTTAAGGTTATGGGTCTTCTCTATTGATGTGAACAGAGAAGTTCCCTTCAAGATTGGAAGGGGTTAAAAGCTAAAGGTATACTACAAAAAGAATTGAGTCTGGATCAAGACAAAATAACCCTGTCAGTGCCAGTTCAAACAAGGGAGTAGTAGTCCCCCTAAAACATTACAAACCTTACTGCCACAGCATGCTTGCAGATGTAAACAATAGTTGGCTTGCACAGTGCCAAGAATGTGCTTCCAGTCTGGCAGCCTAGATAAAGGTCAATTTTCCTTTCCTTGCTTAATTTCTGCTTCCTTTCAACTGTTCAGCTCCTTGGCCACTGAGACCATCTCATCTGTAACCAAATATTTTTATATAGTGTTTTACTTGAGTGTAAACTCTGCATGTGTCCTTCCTCCAGTACCTCACTTGATTCTAATATGGTTCAAAAGTGGCTTGGCAAAGGGCACTCTAGCAGCAGTACTAGCTATTGAGTTAATAGCTGACCACCTTTTTTTTAACTTGGCTAGTGTTATCCACTTCAGATGGAGGCTGACTCTCTATATGGCCAAACTTGCTTTGGATTACTTTGTTACAGGGCTGAATTCCACGCAGAAGTGTGTATGGGGGGGGTGTTGTTGCATCCATACTTTAAGCAAGAACTCTTTACTGTAAACTAGACTATAAGGAGTAAGCTTATTCTGGTTTCAGTCTGAGATTCTGGGATAAATCTATCTTATGACAAGTCGGTGAAAAGTGACTGCTAAATTAAATCACTTCAGCTTGCAAACAAGTGTTTTACATCTGGGATGTAGTTGAAGGGCAGCTTGGCTAGATCTAAGGAAATTCTACCCTAGTTGCTGCATTACAAACTTTGTAGTAATGATCTGAATACATGTTAACTTTTTTGGGGAGGCTGTGGGGGAGACAGCTCCACTTCATGTGGACTGGAATTGCCCCTGTGCATGGAAGTAAGGTACATTAAGGCCTCTCCTGGGATTTTTAAAAACCACACATGAACCAATACTTCTAACTTGCCTTTGTTACTACAGCATATATTAAAGTTACTTTTTATTGTGCATTCATATAACTTATATATAATATTCTTTTTTTTAGGTCCATGAGAGAGAAGATGACTTGGGTAAAGGAGGAAATGAAGAGAGCACAAAAACTGGCAATGCTGGTGGTCGCTTGGCTTGTGGCGTAATTGGAATAGCTAAGATGTAATTGCTGCACTGTACCTGAATTACTTAAGGTGGAAATGAGAAATAGGCTTTAGAAGTTACATTGGAAGCACTATTCTTGGCCTTGTTTTGGCAGAAGCTTTACCATTTAATCTCATTGCTACTTTGAGTCTAAGTATCTGTAAACTGGTCAAACTGACTTGGTTTATTTTGTATAATGTTCATTGCTATTAAACTGATATTAATGGAATAGTTTTGCAGTCTTCTGCATCAACACTGTTCTAGTCATTAAACTATCATTCTACTAATGAAATCACTTCTCACTGGTCCTCTATCATACTGTTATAACAACTTAATGTGGAACATAGTTGAATAACTGAAGTGTTCCCTATGTAGGGAACAGTGTCCAGTTTCAGAAACAATTTAATAAGTAAAGTTCTGCCTAGAATTGTCAAGATGCTATAAAACCAGCCCATTAAGGTAAATGAAAGGAACTACTTCTAGACTGAGACAACTTGCCACTCCCACAGGTAATTCTTCAAATATTTTGTGGGGCTTGCATCACAACAGTCCCAATCAAATAGTTACTATTAACTTGATGTGACAGGTGAGGCTTCTCTCTTCTGCTTTGCAGAGTAATTTCTGTTCAGGCCCATTAACACTTCTTTGCTTTATCTACTACAGTGGTGGATGGGATGGCAACAGCCATGCTTAAAGAAGGGATGTTGTGACCTTAATACCTTTTAAAAGGTTCAAGATGAATATAAATGAGACTAGTTTGTTTTCTTCCATTTACCACAAAACAGATAAACAGCCTAGTTCATAAATTTGTTTTGCATTGCAATATTTAGTTTAAACCTCTAATAGAAAACTTCAGAAACAAAAGTATTTACATTACATAGATTACACATACTTTCATTTCATAACAAGTGCAGCAATATAGCTAGAGACTCAATCTGACAGTTTATTCAGATAGATATTCATAATCTAACATCA